TTTTGATTTTCAATATATAATTCTTTTCTAGTAGTTTAATTTAAAATCCCCTTTGAAAACATACTTAGCTGCCTCATTAACCTAGAAAGACCGTTGTGTGCCTCTAGACCTGATACATTGCATATTATAAACATTCTCATCAACTATAGATCAGGTGGCTATGTCCAGATAGAGACTGTAGAATGTGAAAACCAGAACCTTTTACATTTGGACTTTAGTGCTTTGAGTGTTCCTGAGCCAAGGTTGAAAGGGGGCATATTTAAAGAAAGGTGCTTGCCTGTAATTGCCATATATGGAATCTTTTCAAAGCCTTAGTGTGATTCGCTCTATGTTGGGGTTAGATACAGCTTCTAGGAGCATAGCCGAGACCCTGAATTAGGTTATACTTGATCATTTTCTCTGCTCTCACAAGGCTACTTCTGTGTTCCTTCCATTGACATGTCAAAGCTGAGGTAATTTGTTACTTTATAGTATCTAAAGCAGTCTAAAATTCTCGTTTATTGCGAGCACAGTGTTTTGAAGTTCTGTATGGAGTAGCAGCACTTAAAAATAGGTTCCAACATGGTAGGTCATTTCCCATGTGCTGATGCCTTAAGAATCTGTGGCCAGATTAGGGTCTAAAGGTTATGGGCAGTTGTAGTTGGAGGTTTTCCCTGCCAGAACAGCCCCTTGAAACAAGAACACGGGAAAAATTATTGTTCATACTCTTCATTCGTTAAAATGAAGCCATTTGCTCACTGTTTTTATTAGTATTTTAATTCACACTGCAGTAACAATAGAGAAATTCAGCTTTTTTATTGAATTTTTGCAAATTTCATAAAATTTATTTATTATTTTTTTTATTTTATGTGTATGAGTATATTGCCTCCATGTGTGTAAATGCACCCATGTCGGGCAGTGTCCTTGGAACTGGAGTTAACGGAGAGTTATTAGCCACCATGTGGGTGCTGGGATTCAAATCCAGGTCTTCTGAAGAACAAACAGCCAATGCTCTTGACCACTGACTATCTCTCCAGACCCACAGTGTATTTTGATCATATTTAGATTCTCCTCTCCTGTCTGTAAACACTCCCTTTCTAACCCCTAAAGGCCTATAGAATCATGTTTGTGTCCCCAAATCCCCTTCAGTGTGGGTTCATCCACTGAAGCCTAGTCAACCCTACTAAGAATCTTACCCCTAAAGGAGTCTGAATGTCCCCTTCAAGTTAAGCATCAGATTTTTAAGTAATTTGCCATGAAGTCTTGTGAAATAATGAATTTAATTCAGGAAGAAACAAGTAATTTGTCATTAAAGTAACCTTTATTAACTGGTTTTAAAAATTGATATATTCTGGGGATGGAGAGATGGCTCAGCTGTTAAGAGCACTGACTTCTCTTGCAGAGGACCTGGGTTCAATTCCCAGCACCCACGTGGCAACTACAGACCGTCCTTAACTCCAGTTCCAAGGGAATCCAAAGCCCTCTTCTGACCTCTGTGGCATTGCATGACACGGGTGCACTCACATACATGCAGACAGTACACTTATACACATAAAAGAAAAAATAATAAATAAAATATTTTTAATTGATGTATTCTGGTAATATCTTTACAGAGGTTATTTACAAGTTATTTAAAGGTTTTGTGGGTTTTTTTTTTTTTCCTTTTAACTTTTCTTGTTTGAGACAGGATCTCAGTATATGTCCCAGGCTGACCTCAAACTTGATCCTCCTGCCTCATCCCCATGAATGCTGGAATTACTGGGCATGAGCTATGAACATACCTGAACATACCTGGCTTTAAGAAGTAGATTTTTTTTTTTTTTTTTTTTTTTTGGTCTTTTTGAGACAGGGTCTCCTTGTAGCCCCAGCTGTTCTCTGTTCTGGAACTCACTATGTAGACCAGGCTGGCCTCAGACTCAGAGATCCACCTGCCTCTGCTTCCCGAGTGCTGGAATTAAAGGCGTGTGCCACCACACCCCACTTAATTTATTTAAAATTTCTTAAACCCAGGCAAAATGGCTCATTGCGAAGGCAGGGTGATCAGAAGTTTGAGGCCAGCCTAGGCTATGTGTCTATTTATATTTCTTATGACCCTCTTGCCTCAGCCTCCCAAGTGTTGGGATTACATTAGTGTACTACCATTCCTAGCTGTATGCTGTCCTTTTAGTGTGCGGTTTTAACTTAATTTTTTTTCTTTTTGTGTTGCTTTAGTCTTGTACTATAATTGAAACTCACCACTTCCATTGCTGTAACGAAGTCTTATGGGGCTGGCAAGCCTGAGGAACTAAGTTCATCCCCAGAACCCACATGTTAGGAGGAAAGTGACTCCTGCAAGTTGTCCTGACCTCCACATTCACACTATGACACATGCACACACAGACAAAAAATAAATGTAAAAAGAATTATGTTTTAGTTTTATTTTACTTTTAATGCAATAAGATTTAAGCACCAAGTGTGTAGTGGCAAAGACAGATGATCAAGGAATGAAAAATCCTGTGTTATAGCTCTAAAACTAATCTTTTTCTCTGATTTATTAATAAGGCACTTAAGTTGTCTTCTTAGGCTCTTGTTTTCCAACCATAAAAACATGTAACAAGACTTGAACAATCAAACAGAATGGCATAGACTTATCTCCTCTTGATAAGTACAACTATAAAACCTAGAAATAATACCAGACAATCAGGAAAACTCTGATGTGGTCCCCGTACATCATCAGGGGTAGAGGTGCAGACCAACCCAGCAACAGGATTTCTTACAATCACCAGCCTAACAGAAGAAAATCCAAGCCTGTATAACAGCAAAAGGTAGCCCATGTCAACTCATGCCAAAATACTAGATAAGCCAAGCAAAACTGGCAAGAAGATTGGAAGTTCTGCTAATAAGTGACCACCCGGGAGGTGCTCTCCTTCTCTTCCAGGAAGGGGTCAGGATGGATGGAATGGCAAAGGAGATTATATTACAACCAGTCTGTCCTGGGAGATAGTTTTCATGCTAAGAAGGCTCAGGTGGCCTGGCCATAAGAAACTCCTCTCACCTTTGTGTGCAGCACTGAGAACCTACTAAATTCCTACTTCAAAAAATTAGAAACAGAGGTATAGAGAGATGCCTCAGCAGTTAAGAACACTTGCTTCCCTTCCAGAAGTCCTGGGTTCAGTCCCTAGTACCCATATTAGATGGCTCACAACCTAAAACTCCAGTTCCAGGAGATCCAGCCCCCTCTTCTGGATTCCGAGGACACCAGACATACATCTGGTACATGTCCATACCCACATGCAAACTCTCACACATACAGATAAAAATAATCTTTTTTTAAAAATTAGAAATAGAAAGTCAGGTATGTTGGCACATGCCTCTTATTCTAGCATCTGGAAAATGGAGGCAGAAGATTAGAAATGAGACCCTATCTCAAAAAAAAAAAAAAAAAAAGGAGGAAGAAGAATTAGAAAAATAACAAAATGAACTCATAGTAAACAGAAGTACAGAAATAATAAAGATGAGAGCTCAGATCAGAGTTGAAGATGAGAAGGTAGAGAAAAGTTAGTGAAGCAAAAGGCTTATTCAGTGAGAAAAGAGTGAAATGTTGAGGAGGACTAAAGTGCACGTGCACACTGAAGGCTAGGCCTGGTGCCACACACTTATAACCCTGCAGTGGGAGCCCAAAGCAGGAAGATTGAGTTTCAAGGCCAGCATAGGCTACAAAGTGAGGCCCAATCTCAAAGACAAAAAAATCATGTATATAATTATTTATATATGCACATGTACGTATATATACACACACCAGTATTGTGAATGAAAACAAATCCTACAACTATTTACTATTTCATTATTTTTATTTTATGTGTATAAGTGTTATGCCTGCATGTAGGTAAGTGCACCCGTGTCATGCAGTACCTGCGGAGGACGGAAGAGGCTGTTGGGACCCCTGGAACTGGAGTTACAGACAGTTGTTAGCTGCCATGTGGGTGCGGGGATTCAAACCCAGGTCTTTTACAAGAACAGTCAGTGTTCTTAACCACTGAGCCATCTCCCCAGCCCCCTTACAGCTGTTTTTAAAATGAGATGTTATGATGTTATGAACAACTTTACATTCATAAACTTTTAATAACTTAGAAGACATAGAATAATTCCTTTTAAAACTCAAAGAATTTTAAACAGGTAACATGGATACTGCCATTACCACATTAAAGAACTTGTATTTATGGGACTAGAGAGATGGCTTAGCAGTTAAGAGCACTAGCTGTTCTTGTAGAGGATCAGGGTTTGACTCCCAGCACCCACATAGCAGCTAACAACCATCTGTAGCTCCAGTTCCAGGGGATCTGACACTCTCTTCTGATATTGCACAACACAGGTGCACTTAAACACATACACTCATACACATAAAATAAATATTTTTTTAAAAAGATTCAAGAAGCTCATAACTTCTGGCTTTTGGCCAGCCAATGAATTTGGTTTTCAGTAATTAAAACGGGGAACTTTTTTCATATTTTTATATTAATTTGGAATCATCTTACCCAATACTGATTGAGGCGTAATTTAAATGGCAGCCTTTTTTCTTACTTGATAATATGTGATGGTGAACCTAGTGGCAACCTAGGTTAAATGAGATCTGATAATGATTAATAATGATTAAAAAAACAACTTCTGTGTGGGTGTGTGTATAGTGATTGAACCGAGGACCACTGAGCTACATCCCCAGCCAAATTTTAATTTTATTTTTGAGACAGACCTTGCTAAGTTTCCAAGTCTGGCCTTGAACTTGGAATGCCCCTCGCTTACTCTCCAGAGTAGGTGAGATATCAGGCATATGCACCACACCTAGTTGGTTTTTGCTCTTTTCATGTGAATATTTTACCTGTCATGATTTTAACAGACTTCTGAGGGAAAGGAGGTTTTTTGTTTTTCTTTAGAGGAATTACTGACAGTTTAAGGATACGATGGAATATTCTTAGTGATTATAATTCACATGTACTCAAATATTAAAACCTTATACTCATCTTTTTTTTTCTTTGTTTTTCAAGTGTCAATATACAGCATCTGGTTTTACGACAAGAATGACTGTCACCGCATAGCAAAGCTCATGGCTGAGTAAGTATGTTATTCCACAGATTAATGAGAGATGAAAAATGACTCCCCTCCCAACCTCTCATTGTTACTAAAGTCTGCTAATCCATATATGTCCCTTTAATTTCCTCCTTATTGCCAAAAGTTTGAGAAGAGCAGATTTTTTTTTCTAAATTGCCCATAATCCTAATGTTCCCAATATATTTACAAATGCTTGTTTCCCTTTGGTCTCTTTTTGTGTGCATTAGGTTAATATGTGTGATTGTTTTCTCCAAACATGTTATGTATTGCTTTAATATCAACAGCACCTTTTCACGGTGTTACCTTTTCCTTTGTAGTTAATAATTACATTGTATCCAATGTACAGACAGTTCCATTTAACAGAGACTCAACTGTAGGTTACAGCTACTAAACTGCCTAACTTCGGAGATTATGAGCTACATCTTGGACATAGCCTACCACGTGCTATAACTACCCAGATTTCTGCTGTAGCAAACGATACTGTATTCAGTAGCTTGATAGAGGACACATATCCTTGTTTAATTCCTTTAAATAAACTTGGTTTTGATACAGACTAGGTTTAGCAGGTCCCAATCAGCAGATTGCAGAATATACTTAAAACTCACAATATTGAAATTTAGAAAATAATTTTCACTGAATTAGTGTTCTAAAGGATAACTTGTCCTGTAGAAGCCACCTTTTTTATGGCTTACTCATATTTCAAGACTGCCCATCTGAGTTTTAGGAGCCAGAGACACTGTGGTACTGGGTGGGACTAGGATGATGCGCCAGAACACCTTGGCATGTTGGCATCCTTTTTAGATTTTACTTGAATCTTCAATGGATCTCTCTTGCTCTTCTGTCAAATTTAAATTCCTTGCTCTCCTTCAAGGTCTGTATGTTTGGAAGAAAGTAGTCTTTTTAACTGTGTATTTTTTAAATAATTATCCTGAATGTATAAAACAGTAGGTAACCCCAAACCTCAGTTCCAGGTGTACTTATGTTCTTAAAAGGTACACATGCAAGCCGGGGGTGGTGGTGCATGCCTTTAATCCCAGCACTTGGGAGGCAGAGGCA